GAGGCTTCGCCCCGACTAATCCAGACTCGACCCACGTTACGCACCTGAAAATGGTGGGTGAGTCTCCCAGCAAGGGCTGCTGCATACATAAAAACTCGAACTCGAGACCTTGCTTGGTTAAGCTGGAACAAGCCGCTTACCACTTGATCCAACCCCTCGTTGGTAGTCTTCTTGTCCTTTTATTTTTGTTTTCACTAAGCTCAAAATTTTTTCAATGTTACCTTGATAATACCAACGATATGTTAATCCAAATGAAAAGAATTTGATTTCCTTTAAATAAAGTTTTGAGTTCAAGTCTTGTGAATAAAAAATGGTTTAATACCCAATTTGGTCCCTAAACTTTTTTTTTGGAACTTAGTTCATCCTTTAACTTTAGAAGGGACCCAAATCGTCCTTAAACTTTATTTTTCCAGAACTCAAATGATCCTTCCGTCACGGAACTGCTTACTTGGCACGTTAAGTCTCCATCAATTACTCTTTCAATTTTTACAAGCTTATGTGAACAATACACCTCACCCAATTGGTGACATGGCAATCTCCACCCTTCTAAATAAAATAAAACAATAAAAAAATGGGCCACATTGTCTCCGTTTGTCGATGCAGAACAGACCTCCTTCTAGATTCACTCTCACTTTCCCTTTCCCCTTTCTTCTGGAAACCCCTTTCCAGAAAACGAGAAAGCAATTGACGATGCTTTAAGATCAATCTCTGAACCCTTGATTCCTTCTTCTTCAACCCCTCAATCCTCTACAACTCTTGATTCTTTCTTCTCCAAACCCTTGATTCCTTCTTCTTTGACCCCCTAAATCCTCTACAACTCTTGATTCCTTATTCTTCGAACCCTAAATCCTCTACCCATTGTGATTCCTTCTTTTTTGAACCCCAAATCATCTACATTTGTTATTCATTCTTCTTCCCTTGAACCCTAAATCCTCTGCTATTTGTTTTTTAGATTTTGGGTTTGTGAGAATCAGACCATGGAAACTAGTGCACGAAGTTTGGGTGCAGGTTCATTTGAGAGTGGAAGCATGGCCTATTTATATCTGTTTTTTGCCCATTACTCATCCGTCTATTTTATATGAAAAGATGTTTGGTTTTTTCCACAAAGCATTTTCTTAGTATCGGAAGGTGGATCTGAAAGCTAGTTATGTGCGGTACAATAGGATGAAGACGATTCCTTCTCCTAAATCACCACACCAACAACAATCCCTAACCATTTCTTTCCTCACTAACTCATGTGGGTTTTCGTTGGATAAAGCTATTTCAGCTTCTAAGTGGATTAACCTTAAGAACACCGAAGGATCAGATTCAGTTCTTAGGCTTCTAAAAAGTTATGGTTTCACTAAATCTGACATTGCTACTTTGATCTCTAAGCACCCACGTTGTTTGATGGCTAACCCGGAGAAAACTCTTAGGCCCAAGATTGAGTTTTTTGAGTCTTTGGGCATTGTGGGAGAAAGCCTGACTAAGGTTCTCTGTTCAAAAGAATGTATTCTCAAGAGTAGTTTGAAGAAGCAAATAATACCTTTTGTTGATTTCGTTAAAGGGAATTTTGGGACAGGTGAGAATATTGTGTGTTCTTTGAAAAGTGTCAGTACATGGAGTATTTTTTGGTGTAATCCTGATAAGGCTATGGTTCCTAATATATCCACATTGTGTGCACAAGGTGTGCTAGAAGGCCATATTCAGACACTACTAGTGTGGCACCCTCGAGCATTTGCATGTAAAGTTGATTTCTTCAAAGAGATGGTTCATGAAGTTAAAGCAATGGGCTTGGAACCAACAAAAAAGTCCTTTATTTATGCTCTTCGTCTAAAGACAGCTATGAGCAAAGAAACTTGGGAAAAAAGGAGGAGCTTTTGATGAGCTATGGTTGGTTGGAGGAGTAATTTCAATTTGCATTTGTACTGCAACCAGTTTTCATGCTTACCTCAGAAAAAGAAGATCGAGAAAGTGATGGATTTCCTTTAAAACAGTGTAGGTTTGAAGTCATCGGATGTAGCAAAGTGATGGATTTTCTTTTAATTGGTGGAGACTTAACGTGACAGGTAAGCAGTTCCATGACAGAAGGATTGTTTGAGTTTTGGAAAAATAAAGTTTAAGGATGATTTGAGTCATTTCTGAAGTTAAAGGACGAACTAAGTTTCAAAAAGAAAGTTTAGGGACCAAATTGGTATTAAACCTAAAAAAATAGGCGTTGAGAGAGTTT